TGGTTTTGTGGGCGACGTCCTGCTGCTGCTTGCTCTTGGTGAGGGCGTGGCGGATGGTAGCACGATGGTCGCCAGGGTGGAACGGAGCCTTGCCTTGGACGGACTTGAAGACCACCTGGGTGCTCGCGCGGGAAGCAGGGTAGGCGGCTGCGGCACGGTCGAGAGGGTCACATATGCCGGTGCCGCCATGCCGGGCAGGCAGCAGCATCAGGTCGACCTCGGACGGCGTCACAGGGCCGCCGAGGAGGGCCGGCAGCAGCTCCTTGGCGATGGCCTCGCGGAGGGGGCTGAGAGCGCACTCGTCGGTGAGCACGACATGAAAGACGTAGTCCCACTCCATCTGCAGAGACCTCGTCATTGCCGCGTGGGCCGTGTGCGGGAAGTTGCGGGCAGCAGACGCGAGCGCGCGCATGCCATGCACTCACCCCTCGACCTTCTCGCCGAGGAACGCCGCCCTCCCCCCCTCATCGCCCACGTAGCCGCTCAGGAACCTCTTGCTCGTGACGATCTGCACCCCCTCGGGCTCGAAGAGCTCCCTTGCAATCTGCTCGAGCTCGGGTTTGACGACGAGGAAGGACTTGGCGGCCTCTGGGTGATAGCCGTATGAAGGACCGATGCGACGCAGGGCTCGAAACCACACGAGTATGCCGTGAAGTTTGCCAAGCGCCGATGAGTCATCTGCATACCAGCACTGCCGCAGCGAAGCGCCAGATGAAGCGGCCGACAAAGCCGACGAACTCTCTCTGTCCTCCTCACCAGCTCCAACACCTTCTACATCAGAACACACACATACACCCGCACCATCCCTCTCTGCTTCTGGTGGCGTGTCACTGGCTTCTTTTGGCTTCTCTTGCGCTTCTGATGGCACATTTTTGTTCTCGTCCGTGTCTGACCCAGACCCATCGCTGCCTGACTCATCCCATGCCCCACTCGACGGCATCTCATATCCCTCCTCAGCGCAGGCAGCCCGCAGGGCATGGATGATGGGAAGGCTGCCGCAGGCGTAGACGAACATCGCCATCGAATCGCCCTATGTGACGCCTTCATAGCTCCACAGACAGCCGACTGAGCCTTGCAGATGGAATGCAGCGAACCCTCGGTAGGTGTTGAACACATAGCGAGAGCAGCGAAGCCACAGCACGCGGGTTTTCCAGATGGCAGCAGGCCGACTGATGCGATTAAAGGCGTTGCTCGCGTCCACCAGCAAGAGCCCCTCGGTCTCGTCCTCTTGAAAAAGGTCATTCACGGCGTGCACAGCCCCCTCGAGGCCCCCCCTCACACCGATGCACAGCTGATCAGTGCCGCAGGTCGTCTCCAGGTCAGAGCGGGTCACCATGGCCATGCACTTGCCAGCCAGGCGAGAGAGCACCTCCCCGACGCCAATGGGGCGGACGCCAGGGCATTTGTCGAGAGCGATGAGGCGGCACGCTCGCAGGGCCTTGATGTTGTCCCATGGGACGATGGTGTTGGCCAGGGTAGAGACGAGCGAGGCCACAGCTGCGCGGAGGCGGCCGCTCTTGGCACCGTATCGGAGGAGGAAGGTCTGCCAGAAGTTCGCATCATGGAATGCAAGGTCGTTCGTTCGTTCGTTCGTTAACCTCACGGGGACCTTGCCCCCCGGCCCCCCGAAGGGGTACGCAAGAACGAGTCTGTGTGATGCAGGCCTGTCCACCCACCCATCCCTATGGTCCACCACAAAAGGAAACCTGCATAGGGATGGGCACAAAATGGCACTGGCACCGGCCGACATACAGATGACAACAGAGGGCACAGGTGACGAACACTTCCCCTGGCTACATACACAAGAACGAGCGATATCGCCCGACAGCATGAAGCCCTGGCAAGTGTACAGAAGGTCGGAAGTGCCCTATTGGCAACCGCAACTCTCACTGCCGATGATAGTTTGCAATGGGTTCTCTGCACCGAGTCACGGACAGCACCATTCACGTCAATAGATCATCTGAGGGACGGTGTCTCTGTCTGTCCTTCATTTGTTCGTTTGTTCGGTATGTATGTCGATATCATGAATACATGTACGTTCATCCAGTGCACGCAGCATATGTGTCCGTACACAGCGTGTAAGCCCGTCCGCAGCTTGTCGGAGGACCGTCTACCATCAGTCAGCCAGCCACTCAGTCAAGTCAGTCGGCCATCCGTCAGTCAGTGAGTGAGTGGTTCCTCCAGTCAGCCCGTCTCTTTGAGACACATGACATGCACACGATGAATGAACGAATGAATGGATGAACGAATGGCTGTAGGTAGGTTTATATAGTACACATGAGCCACGAGGCAAGGCAAGTGGGGGTGGGGAGGGTCCAAGGGTTCGTCTGTCGCGTGTATGGGTATATAGCCAACCCACCCATGCACCAGCTACAGACACGATGATAGAAAAGGGTGCTGTGCTGGTGCGCACGTCAAGCAGCAAGTAGAGAGAATCTGCATCCAGGTGGGTGGGGGGAAGTGCCATGGACACACGTCAGTCAGTCAGTAGCATCGCACACACACACACACGTGGGCAGTTCGCTTGTCCACGATAGTGGGAGGGAGCGAACGAGCCCGCGAAAAATTACACACAAGGCAAGGCAAGGCAATGGTTTAGCAGGGAAGGAAGAACCAACGAATCAATATAATGAGCGGCTAGAGGAGCATCTGCACGAATGACATATGATATGAGCCAGCGAGTCAGTGAGTGAATGCGAGAGTAGTAGGTCGATCAAGCCAGAGAAGAGAAGAACAGTCAGTAGCCACCCCGCGCCATCCATCCATCCATTCATGGAGACCAAAGGACCATCCATCCATCCAACAAGAGACGCGAGATCTCTCTCCTGCGCCCTTGCCCCCCGCCCCAGCAGGTGCTCTCAACGGCCCGGCCCGGCCCGCCCTGTACACAAAACGCAGAAAGTTTATCCCTCTCCAGGCAGGCAGGTTGTCTTGAAAGCACCCATCGATCAGCCAGCCAGCCCATTCATCGCTTGATTGATGATGTCTACGTGCCATGGATGTCGAATTACCCCATCCACGCAAAAGACACATGAAGGCCATGCCGCGCCATGCGACGCCACGCCAGGAGCGATAAGCAGCCAGAAAGTCTCTTTCTCGAGAGAGAAAACAAGCATACTCGAGAAAGCATGCATATCCACAGCCACAACAGCCAGCCAGCAGGAGCGTTACACAAATACCAACACGCACGCACGCACACACACAAAGAGGCAGGCAGGCAGGCAGGCCGAAAAAAGGGCAAAGGATGTTTGATTTGACTAGTGCCTGCCTGCCTGCCTGCTGCAGGTATTGAGAAAGGAAAGAACCCGCCGCCCACCCGCCCGCCCCTTCCCCCTCCCTTGTCTGTCCATCCCCTCTCTCTCTCTCTCT